GGCCTGGTCCTAGGCAGCCATCCTGTGAGGGCATGAGGGTTAATTGGCATATTACCTCTTTATTATATAGGATAGTGGCTGCTAGGGGCTGGGGGCAGGGAAGTGGGGAGATGTCACAATTTTATTCATTCTGATGACTAAATCCTAGAGATCTGGTGTGCAGCCTGACGACCAATCAGTTTTAATTGTTTGTCTTCTCCACTGGCCCCTGCACCCTCTGGGGGAGCAGGTCCCACGTCTGGCTAAGCATCCAGATCTGCTGGGCAGCTTGATACAAATACAACATTCCTGATCCTCACACCAGGCCACGGAATTAGAAACATGGGAGTGGAGCCAGGGATGCATACATTTAAAAACTGTTCCAGGTGACGGTGGTCAGCAGGCAGGCTGGTAGCCGCTGCCCCAACGAGCCCTCACATCCAGTGGGCCCATCGAGTGGCAGCGGGGCTGGAAGGAGGCAGAGCTGAGGAATGCAGAGGCCTCGCTGCAGGCCAGGTCCTGCTCTGGGAGCTCTTACATCTGCTACTTAATCTCAGCCACGGGGAAGAGAGATGACAGGATGCCCATCACCACAGACAGGAAACCACAGATGAAGAAACCACAGCTCGGGTCCCATGTAACAGGACCAGCTCTGCGGTCTCTTTAGGCTCCTATTCTTTTTTAAATATATTTTTATTGACTTCAGAGAGGAAGGGAGAGAAAAGGAGAGTTAGAAGCATCAATGATGAGAGAGAATCATTGATTGGATGCTTCCTGCATGCCCTACCCCTGCACCCCCTCTCCCCCCTCCGTAGGGATCAACCCAGAACTTCGGGCATATGCCCTGACCTAGAATTGAACTGTGACCTTCTGGGTCATAGATTGATGCTCAACCACTGGACCACACCTGTCGGGCCCTATTCATTTTACTTAACTCATGTTAATTAAATGCCAGTTAAAATAAATTAACATCTTGTTTTAGGAACCTGTAAGACCTAGCCTCTCTGCTCATCTTTATCAGAAACTGCCTCTTCCTTCATCTCTCCCCGTCTCGGGCCATTTCCCCTCTAATCCACTTTCCCAACTGCTGACAAGTGATCATTTAAGCCTGAAAGTCTGCCAAAGCCATTCTGCTTATGGTACCTGTGGCCACATATAAGCTTTTCATTTTTACACAGGCAGCTATGTCTGTCTTTCCTTTATGTCTTTGAGCTTTTCAGACTTACAATGGATGTCTAGGCAGGTCTTCCCAGGCCTCTAGATTTTTAATGCAAATGGCAATCCAGGGGTTAAACTTTACAATGTGTAAAGAGTTTGTACACACTGACATAGAAAGACAACCTTAGATAAATGGGCACTAGGGCTTCATGAGCAATTCAAAGATGAAGAAATTAAATGAATGAACAAACAAATGAAAAGAAACCTCATCACTGGAGGTCAAAGAAAGGAAGTGATGTCTACATCCCTTGACTAGAAGAAATTGAGAATGGCTGTCACCCTTACTGCTGGCAGTGAGGCAGGGAGAAGGGAACTCTCTTGAGCTGCTGGCTCCAGTGGGAATTTCACCATCCTTTCTGGAAAGCATTCCAGAAATATTTTAAAAGTGGAAAAGGCAATGCTGTTTGTTCTCATCCTCCGTTCCTGGGGATCTACTTCCCAGCATAAAACCACTAGCATAAAGGACCTGTGAACAAGACTATTTACTGCTGAATTATTCCAATAGCGAACACCTGGACATTGGGTGACTGTCTGTCTCTGAACGAATTGCTGAGGAAATTATTAGGAAAAGAATTATTAGGAAACACCCACAGCAGAGTGACACACGATCCATGAGAAATGTGAAGTACAGCTGCACTGTCCTGACGCTGCAGGAGGTGCAGCTGAGTGAGTAAACCAAGATGCAGAGCGTGTGATACGATGATCCTACTTTGTAAAATGCTTCCACACACACACCCACACGAAGCCCTTTAGATGCACAGTTTATGTGATGTGTTTTAGTGTGAGTGTGTATGTGAGCACAGAGGAACCTGCATGAGGACCCACACTGGGCTATTAACATGGGTTGCAGTGGTCAGCAAACTCATTAGTTAACAGAGCCAAATATCAACAGTACAATGATTGAAATTTCTTTTGAGGGTCAAATTTTTTAAACTTAAACTATATAGGTAGGTACATTGTTATTAACTTAATTAGGGTACTCCTAAGGCTTAGGAAGAGCCACATTCAAGGGGCCAAAGAGCCGCATGTGGCTCGCGAGCCACAGTTTTCGGACCACGGATTAGGGGATGCCAGGGTTGCTGATGATAGAGAAGAAAGGGGCCCTAGCTAGTTTGGCTCAGTGGATAGAGCGTTGGCCTGCAGACTGAAGGGTCCCAGTTTTGATTCCAGTCAAGGGCACATACTGGATTGCAGGCTTGATCCCCAGTGAGAGGCATGCAGGAGGCAGCCAATCAATAATTCTCTGTCATCATTGATGTTTCTATCTCTCTCTTCCTCTCCTTTCCTCTCTGAAATCAATTAAAATCTCTATACATAAAAGCTTAAGCAACTGTTACAACCAAAAGACCGGAACGCCTGGAATGACTGGTCACTATGACTCATACCAACCATCATGGGGCAGATGCTCAATACAGGAGCTGCCCCCTGGTGGTCAATGCGCTCCCACAGCCAACCTCCCATGGTCTCTCTCTCCTGCTAAGACTCTAGTCACCAGAGAATCTGGGTCCCGGAAGTCTGTAGGAAGAGAGTGCCCAGGTGCTGGTCAAGGGAGAGTAGCAGCTCAGAGGGGGCAGAAGGGGCAAGGCAGCAGCCTAACTGCAAAGACGTAAAGTAAACACCACCACCATCATCTCTGCCACCACACCCTGCCACTCGCCCTCCTGCCCTTGTTAGCCACTTCTAGCTCAGCCCACATGTTTCTGGGCTCCCAACCACTGATTGCCTAGCACTTCTATGGTGGTGTGCCACCATTGGCAGAGCCAGCTACCTATCATGCTTGGGGTTGGAGCCCTGAGAAAATGTGTGGCTGAGGTAGGACAGATGGCCTGTCTGTCAGCAACTCCCATCCTGGGAGAGTGAGGCTGCTGGAGCACAGACAGGGAAGAAGAACTGTATTTCCACCTCAGAGCATAGCTGGTGTTCAGGCTGTTTGGGGCGTCCAGTCTGTGGTCTTTGCTTGCTGCTACCTAAGCACATCTACACAACCAGATTGGGGCCTGCTGGACAACCTCCCACAGTTCCTCCTACCCCTCATGCACCAATTTGTGCACCCGGCCTCTAGTATATATTAAGAGAGAGAGAGAGAGAGAGAGAGAGAGAGAGAGAGAGAGAGAGAAGAAAGGGAGGGAGACAGCCAAGACAAAGGAGAAAAGGTTAATATTCAACTGTAATAAAATCACATCAGCATGTATGATAGGACCATACTTATGAACTTCTATAAATTCTATACATGTATGTATGTGTATTACAAAATCTGAAAAAATTAGAAATGCAAAGCTAATCAGCTCATTCTTCCTAAAACCTGCCAAGGCTTCGTGTGCCCCTGTGGGTCCATCCAGAATCTCAGCCTGGGCTCCGGAAGCCCCTGCTCAGCTCCCCGCCCTCCTCCAGAGCAGCTCCCCTCCTCCTCTGTGTCATGGGCACACATTTCCCCAGGACCCCAGGCCCTGCCCTGCAGCTCTGCTCCTCTAGCTCTTCTCTGCCAAGAGCATCCCTCCGTGCCCATTTTCCTGGATGACTCTTGCTCACTTTTACAGGCCTCAGCTTCAACAGCAGTTTCTCGGGGATTTTTCATGACCCCCAGATGTGGTTAGGCACCTTGATATATATTCCCAATGATGCTTTGTCCTTGCTACTATTCCATTTTACTATTAGCCACTTTTTAAAAAAAAACAAAAAACATTGCACACATTTCCCCAGCTGCTGTTTAATGTTTGCTGTTTCTTTGTTGTATGCAGATTGGATAAGGGCCCATAGCAGGGTCCTGAGTGTTGCATCCTGGCTCTGGTAACTGTGGTGACCAAGAACCACCTCTCTAGCCCTCTTGCCACCCATGGCTCTCTCAGCCATGACGAGCTCTTCCAGTTTTCCAGGGGGAGCAGTTTATACCCCCAGATGGCATCCCTAGCCTGTCTCAGAGTATCAGCCACCTCACCCCCTGTACCTCAGGTCATCTGGGTTCCGTGGCCGCCCAGGGCTCCCCACTCTGCTCCTTTCCCCTAATGCGGAATCCCTGGGCAGAGGAGCCCTAGTGGCTGCTGGAATCCCTCCTGCCCTGTGACCATGACCTGGGCCTGAGAGGAGCTGCAGTGAGGGTGGCTTGAAATTCCAGAACATGTCTGGGGACAACTGGAGCTGGCATTGCTATTGCAGCTGAGAACTAACCAAGACGGGGAATTAGCACAAGGCACACACCAGCGAGGGCACCGCAAACATGTGTACTGAGCATTATCTTGTTTTCACTGCTTATTTCTAATTAAGCATGTTCATGGAAAAAAAAGCAACTCAAATCATACGAAGAGAAAATAAATTAGTTCCTTTTATTTTCAAACCATATCTTCTCTTTATAGTAATTGCTTTATTTCTGTAAGTGGTTTCATTTTTGTCTTCACACACAGGGGAGACAGGAAGCAAAGATTATATGACTGTTTTCCCAAAAGACTGAGGAAACCAGATTCCCATCAAGATCATTGCCCTCCCTCAGCTTGGAGAAGGCAGTCAGCTTTCACAAGGAGAAGGAAATGTGGAAATAAGCTGCACTGTGTGGATCTGTGAAGCGGGGGAGTGCTAGTTCCAGGAGCTTTTATATTAAACCACCGGAGCTTCCTACCCCATTGGCAATCATGCTCCTGCAGGGAGGACGCCTTGGGTAGGACCCTCCATGAGCACAGGAAGGACTCGCATGTAAATGGGAGAGCAAACTGAGTGTCCTGCTCAGTAAGTGGACAGAAAGGAAGCATCCGTTTATCTCCTAGAAAGTGCCCTTGGCTTGTTGTCTGTGAAGTGGAGGAGGCAGGAGGCTGTCAGCCCACAGTGTTCGCCTCCTGCGGCTTCTCCTCAGGACGGTCCAGCATGCGCAGTCTCTCCTCCAGTCTCCGCTTCCATCCTTCTCTGAGCCTGAGGGGAGAAACAGTACACTGGGCTTAGTGCATTGGCCTCCATGCCTGCCGGTCCCACGATGGTTTTTTTTTCCTTGTAAAAGAACATTATTAAGAGAAACATATGACTTTTACAAATTAGTGAAGGGAAAAGTAAATAGACAAATGAGCAAAGCCTCTGAATATATAATTTCCCCCCAAAGTGTATTCCTTTCTGTGTGGATTCAATGTAATCTCAATCAATGTCCCATCTTTTGTAGATAAGAATAAGTGGATATTAATTTTGTATGGAAAGAAAAAAGAAATAGATTAGCGAAAACAATTTTGAAGAAAAAGAAAGTTGGAGGACTCACACTGCATGATTTTGAGACTTAATATAAGGCTATCACCATCAAGACAGCATGCCGTTGGTGAAGATCTATTGCAAATAGATCAATGGATTTAAATAGAGAGCCCAGAAATGAATATACACAAATATGGCCAATTGCTTTTGACAAAGGGCAAAGACAACTCATTGGAGGAAGGCATATATATATATATATATATATATATATATATATATATATATACACAAATGGGGCTAGGACATCATACATCCATATTCAAAAGAAAGTGTGGACTTTGACCCATATTCTACATCTTATATAAAATAAATTATTGATCTAATGTAAGACTAAGACTTTTTAGGAAAACACCCACAAAAGGTTTTCTTTATTATATCCCTTGGTCCAGAAAGAGTTCTTAGATACAACACAAAAGGCATGAGTCATTAAAAAAAAAAGGAAGATTTGGATTTAAATTTGCTCTGTGAAAGATACTGTAAATAAAATAAAAGACAAGCCACAAATAGAGAGAAGATATTAAAAAATCACATATTCATGGGCTTGGTTCCAGAATATATAAAATTCCAAACTCAATGAGATGAAAATAAATAACTAAACATATAAGTGGTAACAAATTTGAACAGACATTTTACCAAAGAAGTTGTGTGGATGAGAAATAAGCCTATAAAAGGTGCTCAACATAATTAGAAAGATGCAAATTAAAACCACAAGGAGATACCACCCACCTCATAGAATGATCAAAACAAACACCAAAAACCCACCAGAAAAAAAAAGAAAAATATGAAAACCAAACCAAACCAAACAAAAACTCTTGCCCTAGCATGTTTATCTCAGTGGTTAGAGCATTGGCCCTTGGAATGAAGGATCATGAGATTGATTCCACTCAAGGGCATGTATCCTGGGTGGGGTGAGTGTGGGAGGCAATCAATTGGTGTGTCTCTCTCACATTGATGTTTCTCTCCCTCTGTCTCACACCTGCTCTTCTCTCTAAAAATCAATGGAAAAATATCCCTGGGTAAGGATTAACAACAAAACAAAAAATTCTCATAATGAAAGTAAAAACAGGTGTTGTCAGGACCCCATGAAGGTCAGGGGTTGCCACTATGATGATGGCAAAATAAATACCACCCCAAGCAGTGCAGCTGTATTGCCTATGGAAGCTGCAGAGATTCAAGACTGGAAGACCACAGAGGTAAAAAAAATCTTCCAATCCAGTGCCATCTGTTGGAAAATAGAAAGACCTCTTCAGAGATAAATGTGTAAGCAAAGGACAGCAAGTACCATGAAGAACCACAGTAACGGAGATGACAAGAAAGGAAATGAAAAACCCCCAGGAAGAAAACTGAATCACATGGAAACATGTGATATAAATGATGGAGATTTCAGGATTGCAGTTCTGAAAACACTCAACAAGATGAGAGAAAATACCAACAGGGAATTCAGTGCACTCCGAAAACAAATCAATACACAAAAAGGGTGCTTTACCAAAGAGATTAGAAGTTTCAAAAAGAACTGATCAGAAATTCTGAAAATGAAGAGTGCAGTTAAGGAGATGGAGAGTAAACTATTGAGTATAGAAAACAGAAGCAACAAAATGGAGGAAATAATTAGTGATATCCAAGATATGAAGCAAGAAATGATGCAGAGGGAAGAAGAGAGAGACCTGAGCATAAAGAAAAATTAAAGAGCTCTACAGGAGCTATCTGGCTCCATCAGGAAAGGCAATATTGGAAGTATAGGCGTTGTGGAGGAGAAAGAGAGGGAGCATGGAATGGAGAGTCTATTAAAACAAATAGTGGGCGAGAACTTCCCAAAACCATAGAAAGACTAGATCCTTGATTCCAAGAAGTAATCAGAATACCTAGTTATGTCAATCCAAAGAGGCCCTCTCCAAGGCATTTGGTATTAAAGCTGTCAAAAATAATGACAAAGAAAAAATTATCAAGGCAGTCACGGAAAAGAAGGAAGTTGACCTACAAAGGAAAACTCATCAGAATTTCATCCAACTTCTCAGCAGAAACTCTACATGCCAGATGAAAGTGGAACCAAATATTCAAACATCTGAAAGAGAGAAATTACCAGCCACAAATAATATATCTAGCAAAATTATCCTTTAAATATGAAGGAGAAATAAAGATGTTCCCAGACATACAGAAACTGAGGGATTTTATCACCAGAAAAGCTCAATTGCAGGAAATACTCAAGGAGTTATTCTACTTGAAACAAAGACCATAAAGTCACAACACTATAAGTAAGATCCCAAAAAAACTTACAACATAAACAGGGAGAATTTGTGACAACTAAATATAAAAGAGGAGGGGGGAAAGTTCTGAAGTGGCTAAGAAAGATGAAGATCAGATGCACTAAAAAATGAAAATAAAAAAACAAGTTATGGTGTATATACAACTCAATTTTTTATAAATCTAACTAGAGGCCTGGTGCATGACATTCGTGCACTTGGAAGGTGGGGGTTCTCAGCCTGGCCTGCACCCTTTAGCAGTCTGGGAGCCCTTGGGGGATATTTGACTGATGGTGGGTACTGGGCCTAAGCCGCAGTTGGACATCCTGTGGAGGCAGGAGAGGCTCCCGCCACTGCCACTGCACTAGCCAGCTGTTGGCCCGGGTGTGGCTGAGGGGCGCTCCACCTGTGGGAGCACATTGACCACTAGGGGGAAGCTCCTGCATTGCACGTCTGCCCCCTGGTTGTCAGTGCACATCAAAGCGACTGGTCATTCCACCATTTGGTTGATTTGCATATTACCCTTTTATTATATAGGATGGTAACCACACACAGAAATCCCCAAACCAGGACATATAGCTTAAAAAAAGAGGAAACAGAGCAAAGATGTATGGAATATGATCAAACAAAAACAATAGAAACATAAAGGAAAAGGACCAATGAAGACCCAGAACTACCAAAAAACAAAAGATAAAATGGCTATAGGAAATCCTCATCCTATCTAATAAAAGAGAAACATGGTAATTGGTGTACGACCGCTACCCTTCCCATTGGCTAATCAGCAAGATATCAAAATTAACTGCCAGCCAAGATGGCGGCCGGCAGCCAGGCAGCTTGAAACTAGCATGAGGCTTGCTTGCTTCAGTGATGGAGGACTCCAACGTTCCCCACCTGCCTTGCTGGCCTCTGAGCTGCAGTTTGAAACATTGTAACAAATACAGAAGCTAAACAAAACCCCCAAAACCAGCTTTCAGCGAGCTGGGATCTCAGAGCTGGAGTTGATACAGAGTTTCGATTATAGAACCCAAACAAACCAGATACCTTCTTTCAACAGCAGAGGCCTCAGAGCTGGAGCCAGAGCTAAAGCTGGCCCAGAATAAAAAAAGAAAAGAAAAAAAGGAGCAGTTGGGAGCTTCAGTCCCAGCCTGAAAACAGCCCTCAGCCCCTCACCCAGACTGGCCAGGCACCCCAGTGGGGACCCCCACCCTGAAGGGTGTGTGACCAGCTGCAAACAGCCATCATCCCCTCATCCAGGCTGGCCAGGCACCCCAGTGGGCCCCCCACCCTGATCCAGGACACCCTTCAGGGCAAACCAGCCAGCCCCCACCCATGCACCAGGCCTCTATTCTATATAGTAAAAGGGTAATATGCCTCCCAGCACCGGGATCAGCGGAGCCGCGAGGCCTCCAGGCACCGGGATCAGCGTGACAGGGGGCAGCGCCCAAACCCCCTGATCGCCCTGCGGCTCTGTGTGTGACAGGGTAGAGCCATAACCTCCCCATTGGCCCTGCCCTGAGTGTGAGAGTGGCGGTGCCCCAACCCCCTGATCGGCCCTGCTCTGTGGGTGATAGAGGGCGGTGCCCCCCTCCCCCCAGGCCCTGCTCTGTGTGTGATGGGGTAGAGCCATAACCTCCTCATCGGCCCTGCCCTGAGTGTGACAGTGGCGGCTCCCCAACCCCCTGATCGGCCCTGCTCTGTGTGTGACAGGGGGAGGTGCTCCATCTCCCCTATCAGCCCTATTCTGTCAGTGACAGTGGGGAGCTCCTCAACCCCCTGATGGACCCTGCTCTGTGAGTGACAGGGGGAGCTCCCCAACCCCCTGATTGACCCTGCTCTGTGTTTGACAGGGGGGAGCTCCCCAACCCCCTGATCGGCCCTGCTCTGTGCATGACAGGGGTAGGTGCTCCATCTCCCCTATCAGCCCTATTCTGTCAGTGACAGTGGGGAGCTCCTCAACCCCCTGATGGACCCTGCTCTGTGAGTGACAGGGGGAGCTCCCCAACCCCCTGATTGACCCTGCTCTGTGTTTGACAGGGGGGAGCTCCCCAACCCCCTGATGGGCCCTGCTCTGTGTGTGATGGGGTGGAGCCGCAACCTCCCCATCGGCCCTGCCCTGAGTGTGACAGGGGGGAGTGCCCCAACCCCCTGATCGGCCCTGCTCTGTGGGTGACAGGGGGCAGCACCCAACCTCCCATCGACCCTGCCTGGAGTGTGACGGGGGCGGTGCCCCAACCCCCCAATAGGCCCTACCCTGAGCGTGACTGAGGGTGGCATTGCAACCTCCCAATCCGCCCTGCTCTGTGCATGACAGGGGGCGGCGAGCCAACTCCCCAATCGGCCCTGCTCTGAGCCCGACCAGGGTCTGCACCTAGGGATTAGGCCTGCCCTCTGCCACTCGGGAGCAAGCCTAAGCCAGCAGGTCGTTATCTTCCGAGG